TAAATTGAGGACCAGAATATTTTGCAGATCAGCTTGATCAAGTCAGCAACTTCAATTGGAGGATTCACAATCTGGACAAGTGTGCTGAATATATTCAACAAACGAGGAAAACACTCCTCAACAATTTGATACAAAGGTATCCTTTCCTCCTCTGATTTGAACCTAAACCATGAGGCATATAAATAGGATAAGTGTGCCAACTCATATAGAAGTAAAACAAAAGCATTGTGCTGCAATGTCATCAAGACCAACAGCAAAATTTCAGTAAAGATTTATGATAGATGGAAAAGGTGGTATGTATGCTCACTCATATTTCCGGGATAGGATCCTTAGCACATAAAGTGCTCCGAAAATTTGATCCTGTGATTCCATGTTATGTGTAACCCAATGTAGAAGACTAGGCCACTGCTCAGGGTAATCCGCAAGGATCAAGGTCTTGATACTTTCTCCAAGCTGTGCTCTAAAGATATTCATGAAAGATGTGTCAATTATCCATATGTTTATCATCAACAAATGCCAAATGTTATGCTTCCGCCATTAAGAAAACTTATATAAGACAAGAATATGTGAACCGGTATGGCTAGCCAAAAAAAATTACCATGTGGCCACATTACAACTTGAGAAAGTACTTTGCATAATGCTTCTCTACAAATGGAGGTTTAATACAGAGAAAAAAAGGGAACAGATGCATTCAAGAACTAACAACAAGCCAGCGTCTATTATTACCCATAATGTGTTTCATGAAGGCAAAGTCAATATTTTTTTACTACATATTGCTTCTATTAGAAACAAAATGGAGCTTCAAGCAGCATAAAGAAAAACATAAAAGCTTCATTTTTAATTGCAATTAGCTGGAAGATGAAGTATAAGTAGGCCGAAACTAAAATTGGTCGACATTATTTTCCCTCCATTGGAGCTCTATGGTGAAGGCGGAGTCACCCGTTCGAGGCAACCGGTGATGACGATGACGCTTGCGACTCCTCGGCAAATGTCTTTCTTCTTTGCACCTTCAGGTTTCATGTCGGTGGCCAGATTGGCCGGTGGTGCCCAGGTCATATGGGTTGGGTTGTATCGGTTTTAGCTCGGTTTTCCGTCAATTAACCGGGCAATTCTCTTCTTCTTAATCAACAAAAATGGCAAGTCTTTTGCCTCGTTTCAAAAAAAATACACTATTGAAAACTACAGGCACTAGAATTCAGTTTATCTGGTAAAAAACTGACAATATAACAAAATAACCAAAAACAATGAGCAGTACAATTGTAGCAAGCAGCTATGACAGTAAAACGTTACTACTTGTTAAGGAAAGGACAGGTGGATTGCGGCAAAGTTATTTTTACCTTAGCAGTGGAGGCAATTGAGTAACAAAGCCCAGTATATTCTCACGAACCATAGACTTGTCACCTTCTGGAATTTTACGTGTTTCATCTACAGAAAGGAAGAAAAATTGTCAAGTTACCAAAATGAAGGGAACAATGCCCAGGTATTACCCTCCACGTACCAGGATCAATAGGTGACCAGGCTTTTGAAACAAAGTTCTTGAAGTGAATGCTTGCGACCTGTCTCACAGCCATATCACAACTTCCATCGACGATGATCTGTAACAATCTCACCAGATGTTGTTGCGTATACTGAAGCTGCAGGAATCGCAGGAACTTCAGTACAAGGGTCCGAAATGAAATAACATATGCATATAGCATTGCAACATGTATAGAACAAAAAAGACAGGAAACACTGAATAAGAATGAACAATACAAAACAAAATGGCCAGCTTAGTTAGAGCATTCTGCATTATTCCTTTGGGTATGTTAACAAGTAATGCACTGTAGTTAATCCATTTCTCATTCTTGGAAAAGGGGTAGCTATTCATCAATCACAAACAAATGCAAATTAAGTTTCTAAGAAAAATAAGAACATGGCAATATGAGCTGCTTTGCAATTTTCTGGGTACATGGTAACTTTCTATTTCAAAATACTAAATCTTCCATGAGTGTTGGTTTTGGCTCAAATTCTGTTAGCGCATATTGTAGTATTGAAATTCACTATTATACAATAAAAGAACAAAAACAAGTTTGAACTTCAGAAAACACAGCAGCAGTCGCTTCATATATGATTAATAACTATAGGCAAACACACTTGCAATAGGTTATTAAGGCGACCGGGTAGATTTGTCTGTTCTGTATACAGATCAGCTCGAATACAATTTCAACACTGATGGTCTTACACTCAGTGCGCTCTCATGAACAATAATTTCAATTACATAATATGTAAACAAGCGCTGTCCAAAATGCAGTGCACTCGAGAGCGTCATTACAACAAACATAACGATATACCAAACAGCTCCTTCTATGCACAGAAGTTGGCTAAGAAACTCTCTTTACAGACAGTTCGTCCAAGTGGACGTGTGCGGATAGCTAAAAGAAAGGATATTATCACTCTGCTCCAACAAATTTACAATCTTGTGAAAAGATTTGACTGCATCCTTACAAAGCATATAATATTATGGCATTAAAAAGGAAGGGAGCAAACAAGCACCTCTGTGATGTACAAATGTTCATCGTTAAATAAGTGCTCTGTGTGCGGAGTACATGATTATATGCCACTAAAAGATTTAAATTTTATATGCTGTCTTATAGTTTCAGGTGTAATGGCAGCCTGCTTGATTGAACAGGTTGCTAAGCCTACCAACTCTGAGGTGTTCATGAGCTGGAAGTCAATAATGCCACTCGCATGAGCTAATAACACTGAGCATAGCTCCACAACAAAGTCGAACTAGATGACAACGGACAGCAAGCATCAAACCGGTCCAGAAGTGAAGCTCATACAGATAACCGGTTCAAACTGATCCAATTCAGCAACCTAGCTCCAGATCACGGAAAACATAGCAACAGCAATCAACTCGACACGGAACAGAGAAGATGCGTTGACGTGACTGGTTCGATTGAGCAGGATTCCACGGCAAAACGCACCAGCGGAGGAGGCGCGAGGCAGTGATCCGACGAACCCCTACCCCCAATCCAACCCCTTCCGCCACGGCAGGAACCCCAGGCTCCCGATAGTGGCGTCAACGATGCAAGCAACGGAGCGAGAGGCTAGAGCGGCATCAAGGCGGCAGTGGAGGGGCTAACCTGCTCGAGGCTGGCCTCAGCAGCTTTGCGCTCCTCGGGGGCGTGGCTGAGCGCCGCGCGCAGCACCAGGGTCAGGTTGGACAGATCCATCGCGGCGGGCCGGCCGAGCTCGAGCACCGACGGCGGCGGCGGGAGGGGCGAGGCCGCAACCCCGAGCTAGGGTTCTCGATGGGCGACGCGGGGTGGTGGAGAGGGAGGGGGCGGGGGTGGGGGTGGCGACTGGGGAGAGTCGGGGTCGCCTCCTCCCACTTCAGGAGGGCCTCGCGGTCGCGGAAACCTGGGGAGTTGAGAAGCGTGCGTGCGTGCGCGCCGCACCGTGCCGTGCGTGCTCGAGGCAGAGAAAGGAGGGGTGGATCAGTGGAAGTGGTGGTGGGTATTTAAATCTAGGGTTTGGTCGAGGGGTTTTGCTCGGCCGAGCCCGAGCAAGAAGCAAGCCCGGCCTGCTGCGCGTGTGCCGCTGCTACGACCACCCCCACCGGCCGGCAGCAGCAACTTTTCTGGGGGCAAAGGCCCTCGTCCGAACCCGAGGCCCAGTATTAAGGGTGGAATTTTGGATCCGATTTATATACTCCTAGATGGATAAATGTTCATACCATATCAATATTTCGCATTCTTTTGGATTCAGAGGTCATTTATAGGAGCATTGCACGTGTTGCGCCCTAGTGTCGTCACGTGTCCCACTTTGTTGAAGTGGTTTTTTTGGACGAATTATTTTTGTAATTTTCTCGCTAAGTTAAGCACGAACCCATTTTGAAAGAAAAAATTATCTTACCTTTTTTGGTCACGACAATATCCTTGGTGTCTCTTTTGCATGGAAGACACATGGTCCTTGCCGTTTTCCCCTGGTCCACACGTTGCGTTGGCTCGTTGTAGCAAAGGGGGAAACACCATGGAACCCCCCCCCCCCTCGACCCAGAACGTCACAAACTGTGTCGTTTTCTCCTGATAAGTCATCCAGTCGCGCAGGCCTAGCCCACCACATCTTCCCTATTCTCCCTATCTTTTTGTGGTGGCCGAGCGCACTAACAAAGAGGGGTTCTTTCTCGC